GTTTTTTAATTAAATGCAACTACTAAAACACTGGGCTTACTGTAGAAAATCCCAATCTATAAGCAGCTTACATTAAGGTAAAAAGACTTAAATGAGGGGAACTTTCAAATAAAATAGCTTAGAAAAGGCAGAGCTTTTGAAAGTGAAATAAAAATGCTTATATTGTTGCTTTGTGTGTAGAGATCAACTGAGTCATAAAACAATGCACATTTTACACACTAGCCTTAAAATCTAATAGCATTAATTGTATAGGCAAGCTGTGTATTCCAGTCTATTAAAGGAATTCAGGCAGTTTTGTCAAGGATAATGTTTCCTCTGTAATCGAACCTCTCAAGTTCTATCTCACAGTTAGGATATGGAAGAGTTTGGTGAAATGGCCAGGTCACCAGCTCTAAAATGATACAGTGTTGCTATGTGCAACCAAAATAAAAGAAATTATACTGTTATGATAAAATAGCTAAGCTAAAAGAGATAAAGTGTTGATGAAGATATCTACAAAGAACTTCAAACTTCATGGCACAAAATGAAAACTTAGGTTACTTTTTAGATCCACAGATAAGAGATCTGAGTGCATTTTGTTGCAAATAATATTTGCTTCAACATATGAAGTTGCCCAACCTATGAAATGATTTTGTTAGTCTTCATGAAAATTTTTGTTAGCATAATTATTTAGTATGTGATTGTTTCATGTTAGAGAACAAATGATAGGTGACTTTCACTAAGGACATAAGATCATGATGAAAATCTATGCAGAAAACAGTTAATTTACCTTTGCTAGGTGTTATAATAAAAAAAAATATCTCCCTATCTCTTCATTGAGATGGCTGACCGAAAGCTCATAGACACTTTGGGCAGATACAGTGATGGGAAAGAGATTCCTTGGGGAACTTGAGAGTTCCAATACATCTTCTTCCTGGATCTTTCCTTCTTGTGGCTAGAGCACTGAGTTCTAGGATCGTGCTCATTTCTGAAAGTGCTGAGTGGTGGCACCACCTCCAGGGTCGTGGAAGGGAATGGGAAGTATCTCTGCTTTGCCTGCCTTCTGTGTGGAATTTTGTGATATCCCAACCTTGCCTCAGGGAGCACCCAAACTCACGCTGCACAATAAAGTTGACATCATGGGATGTCTTTTTGAATGTACCTCACCCAAGCCCTCTTACAACAGAAACTGTTAGTGTCAGAATAAAGTGGCTTCAGTTTCATACCTTTAAAAGTCAGAAGAGACCAACTGCATATTCCTATTTTTCTTTTTGGTTCATGAAAGACTTCATTCTGACCTCACTCTTGGCATTGGACTAAATGCATGGCTTTTTTGTTTTGTTCTGGAAATTATATTTTAAGCCATTGTGAGGAGTTGGGCATATTATCAAGCGCCCAGAATGCTTTCCTTGGGTCATCCCTGCCCCAGGCAAGGGTACTGTGGAGAAGGCAGATGAGAATCTTAGAGAGGACCAGTTGATGGCTCCTTGGAAACGAATGGCAATGTGGCTCCAAGCTCTTTGTGTTTAATCCACATGCACTATGTATTTGAAAACATCCTTTCTTCCTCATGCCTTTAACCTTTGACCACCCAAGAATTCACTATTCATATCTTCTCTGAACCAAGCAGTCCTTGAACTTTTCCCTTGGATAAAACAGTCCTTCCACACTTCTGCTCTCGTGGGCCCTGGTGTCCCCTCTTCTCTAGGACTTGGCACATCTATGAAGCCCAAGCCTTTCACACCTACCAGCAAGGATGCTAGCTTTGTTGAAAGCAAGGACAATAACATGTTTATTTTTATTGTTCTGTACCTGATAGATTGCTTATCATATAAAATGATCTCAAAATATATCTGTGGAAAGAACATATAATTTTTGTGAATATTACGAAAGATAGGTCAATGTTGTATAAAGGAAAATAATGATAAATTGGGAAATTCCAGAAAACATTAATGCTGTGATTTCTTAGCGAGATATAAACGTGTATTCCCTTTGCCACATTCCATATGCATTCCTCTCCTGGTAAAGTGAAATTTCTGTTTGTGACCAGATTCTTTTTCTTGGCTACATTCACTATTGATCTATAAATGCAAAGGCTGCAATTCACAGTCATAAAATCAATGCAGAATATTGTAAGATGTCTTCCAATTGGGAGAATCAAGCAGAGAAACTATAACAGACAATAATTCAGTCAAAACAAATAACCAAAAGCAAACAGAAGTCTAGTAGGAATTTGGAAGCTTCATTAACCATCCCAAGTAATGAAATTGCACTATTTATCTTGACTTTGGAGTGTTGAACAAACTGGAGGAAATATTTCCGTATCTAAATTTGAAACCTGTAATAATTTCATATTCAGTAAAGCATATAAAACATTTGAGAGTAAAGAAGTATGTCTTCTATCCATTCACAAAATAAACCATTTTTTTTAACGTCACTCAGTTTACCTCCCTACATAGAGCTAAATCTGCTAATTAGAGTTTATTACTTCAGCCTCATCTCTGATTCTTTGTGAACAGGAGTTAAAGCGACTTATGTTTATGTCAATGATATTTTAATCAAATTTTTTTTTTAACACCTTGAAGGAGTTCCAGGAATGTCTGATCCCAAATGGGCTCATAAGGATAATAGTGAAATCTAAACTGATTATTTTACAGACTTTAATATTTATGCCATATCTAGTTTTCCTAATCACAACAAGATTATTTAATTTTCTTCAACAGGAGCTTAACTAGCAGGTTGCGGAGCAGCCATTCATTAAAAGGCCTCTCAGAACTTCTAAACTAGTTTTAGGATTATTTTTGTCAGTTTTCAGACCTGAATATCCCACATTTCTTTAAAGAAATACTTGGTAACTCCAAACTTGTAAAAAATACTTGGCCTACAAATGGTTAAATTTACATCAAGTGGACTCACAAAGCTTTCTCGATGTGATTATTGATTTTTAAGTAAAATTTAAGTTTAAAATAATTTATCTAATGGAACTTATCTTTATCATATATAGTATCTTTTAAGTTTTGCCTAGAGTTGAAAACTCACAATTTGATTTAAATGCATGATGGTAATGGTTTGGTAAATTATAAATAATGGATTATGCATTTTTCTCAATCACATTTAAGTATTCCATTTATGGGCTTGAACATAGCCAGACACTGTAGACATTAAATAAATATATAAGGTTGCTTAATGATATTTTTAATATACTACACGTATTTAATCTAAGATCTTGCCTCTGGATTCATAAGAGCAAAAATTGTGTAATTGTGTTTTATAAAGAAACTTAAAAAATCAGTCTCTAATCTTACTCTTTTTTCCTCTCTAATAGGATTATATGTTTCTTTGCGATTTAATTTTGGTTTCTTCATTTTGACATCTGTACGTAAACTCTGTCCTCTGTCCCTGACTCTCTGTCTTCCTTCCTGGGTCTATAATTTTCATCAAGTTTGGAAAATTCTCAGCCTACATTTCAATAGTTTTCTGCTTTATCCCCCTATCTCTTCTCCTCCAGGGACTATTTGGCTACTAGATATTTTCCCACAGTTCAGAAGTCCATTTTTTCCTTCCTCCCCCTTTCCCCCTTCCTTCCTTCCAGTTAGTCCCTTTTCTCTCCGTGTTGTGTCAGTACTTGTAATTTTAATTCCACTTTCATTTCTTCTGCAGGGCCTTTTCAGCCATTAACCCATGTGTACTGTATTTCTTTATCTGATACACATTGGCTTTCATTTCTAGAAACTTGATCTGTGTTACATTTAGGTCAGTATCTTTAATCTATTCTTTACCTTCTTGAACATATAGAATATTCTTAAATATCCTTGTTTATCATTTCTACTATCTTTGTCTACTATTTCTGGGTAAAGTTTGATTGATTTTTCTCCTCATTATAAGCTCTATTTTTTACTTCTTTGCATGCTAGATTTTTTTTAAAATTGGAGATGATAGACATTGTGGATTCTATCATGTTGGTTGCTGATCAGGTTTGCATACATTATGACACTCGTCCTAATGGAGGAAAAGGTGGATGTCAAAGGCTGCTTGATGTCAGTATGAGAAGCAGCTTCTGCCAGTTAATCACTAAGACTGATTCCTTCATGGACCCCAAATAGAGGTGACAATGCAGTACCAGTAAACATTTCATCTTCACTTCCTTCTGAGTTCTTCATATGACTTGTCTCAGAATTTCTGAGGGAATATTGTAGGAATCATTCATTTTTTTTTACATGGAAACATTTTATAAATAAAAATGAAATGTCTCAATTGAACCACTGTGTAGAAGGTAAAGTCCATTAACCAAGTTCCTGGTTTTGATGAGTAGCATTCACAGTGGAATAAATCACAAAATGAGGAGTTAGTAACAAATCCTCTTTCCTCAGTAAATAATGCATACAAAGAAAGAATACTAGCTTTGGGTCCCATGCTACATCTAACACAGGGACAGTAGCTAATATTTCCTGCACTCAGCACACAAGGTAAAGCACCCATAAGTGGGAAATATTCTATTCTGTTTCTAACCGCGACTACTGGTATGTCACCTGGCTCTGTGATTTTTTTACCAGCCATGAAACCTATATGGGGCTCAGTTAAATAAAAATAAATGTTCATTTGCACGAGTATATTTATGAAAGTGATTTAATTCCTAAAGGCGTCCTCAAATGGCTTCAGTTTATCTACCACTGGTGTTTATGAGAACCCCAAATCCAACCGCACCTCTTTCCAATAAGCTCAGGGGAAAAGGGACCTTCTTTCTTCTCTGTTTTTCAGATAAATATAATTAATTATCGATGCATAATAGGAAAGAGATTAAAGAACTTTGGAGGAATTTCAGTTGACATGTAGCTTTTAACTGTTTGTGTCAATCCTAATAGTGAGTATGTTTATTCTTACCCAGTACTGTTGGGATAGTTTAGGATACAGTTTGTGAATATTTTAAAATGTTTTGTCATTAAAATATTTAAAAGCTTTAGCATTAACATAAGAGATTGGTCAACATTTCTTTATGTTTTTATATTTTCTTGCTTTTGTAGGATATAAAGTGTGACTAAACTGAACATATACTTGGCAGATTCTCATCATGAACCGTGCATTTAGCAGGAAGAAAGGTAAGTGTGCTTATTTCAGAGGACTTGGGAGTCAAATCGATATTACTATAAAAATAAAACAGATGACAAGAAATCAGTTTTTCCTGTTATCAAACCACAGGGCTCAGGAATGAAGTTAAGTTAGATCAATTAAAATATGCAGTTATTCCTAATTGGTTTACAATATGTCTGTGATAATATGTTCCCCTGCAATTTTATGCAGTGTGAAGAATTTCAAAGAATAAAATGATCTGAAACCTAGTGCTAACTATACTTTATGTAGCCATATAACACTAAATTCCCCAGGCTTACATAAGCTTGCATATATAAATTCATTCATGGGTATTTGTGTGTGTGTATGTGCACGCACGTGTGCAAGTCATATAGTATTGAAAAATATGAACAAATTGGTAATAGGTGGAGTAATAGCAATGATATAAAAAGTTTGTTATTAATACTCAGCTAAGAATTTAAAAGAAATATAAATTCAGCATATCATAATCATCAGAAAGGAAGACAATAAACATAATTTACATGCTGTTTTACAAAGCAAGAAAGCTTCGCATTTGACACTATTCCATGGAGCATTCATAGGAAAGAAATATTTTATAGTGTAGTCTAGTTCAATGAAGTTAGAATAATGTATTCTTTTCATTCTAAGAGTTCTGTAGTGAAGGGCACAGAGCTCACTCATGTTTTACATGCTATCAGTGAATTGGCAAAGAATACTTAAGCAATGCTAATCAGATTCATAGATGAGAGAAAGCAAGCAGAGGTGAATGACCAGGTGGGGTTACAGAAGTGTTAGTTGTACAGTTAGGTCTTATTCGACACTATAGATTTACTGAAGTATTATAAACTGCTCAACAAAGGCCCAGAAAATCTAAATATTTTTAATATATCATCTATTTGATTGTGTTGTTATTTGGAAGATGCGCCTTCAGTGGCATATGGGTCAACAGTGGCCTAGTAATAAGGTAAAGTGTGATGACCAAAAGCTGTTGTTCAGCTCTCTAACATGTGAGCAGTGAAGTGCTCAGTTCTCTCCAGCACATCCAGGCACAACATGTCCTCTCTTTACAAGGTTTAAAGGATTAAGATGGATGTACCCTAACGCACCCAGATGAGAAAAGCTGGGAAACGTCCAGCACTTTCAAGCAAGCAGCAGGAAGCACAGCGGGCACGCTGGCATGGAATGAGAGCTGCTTTCCAGGGTTTGAAGAGGCTCCATTTAATTTAGCCCTGGGATTTCGTTTAGTAAAGGACAAGTAGGTGCAAATTATAAGGTCATTGCTTTAATGTAGGAGAAAACATTCTGACAGAGTTGTGTAAAAGTATAATGGAATTAATCAGATTACTAACTTGCCCTGACTGCAGTGAGAGGTGTTGAGTAGGAATTTAGATGTGACCCTTATGACACTTCTCAAGCCAGCAAAGCCAGAAGTACATGATTGTACTTATTTTTCTGAGTAGAGGAAGTACAATGAAGTTGTTTGGAGTCTATAGCTTGTTTCTGCTTTGAAACACATATTAAAAAATAAAACTTTTTTTATTCTATTTGATAGTACAGTCTAGAAAACATTCTGATATACTTCCTTTTTTTTTTAAATTTTTTTTTCTTAAATTCTTTTA